GGCCCATGCGGGTACCCATGGCCACCCGCTTTGTCTGTAGGAAGTGGGAGGAATTGAAAGAGAAGTTGTTGAGTGTGAGGACGAGTTCGGCTAAGAGGATGAGGGTGTCAGTGGAGGGGGACTGGTCGGGCCTGCGGGACAGGAAGAAGCAGAGGGCCTTTAGGCCATCTGTATGGGGAATGCAGGTGTACAGGGACTGGACATCCATGGTAAAGAAGAGGTGTTGGGGACCAGGGAATTGGAAGTTCTGGAGGAGGTAGAGGGCGTGGGTGGTGTCACGGACATAGGTAGGGAGTTCCTGGACCAAGGGGGAGAAAATGGAGTCCAGATAGTTGGAGATCAGCTCGGTGGGGCAGGAGCAGGCGGAAACAATGGGTCGACCAGGGCATTCAGGTTTGTGGATTTTGGGAAGGAGATAGAAGCAGGCGGTGCGGGGTTGGGGAACGATGAGGTTGGAGGCCGTGGGTGGGAGGTCACCTGAGGTGATGAGGTTGTGGATGGTTTGGGAGATGATGGTTTGGTACTCGGGGATGGGGTCATGATCAAGGGGGCGATAGGAGGAGGTGTCGGAGAGTTGGCATCTGGCCTCGGTGATGTAGAGGTCAGTGCGCCATACTACAACTGCGCCTCCCTTGTCCGCGGGTTTACTACAACTGCACCTCCCTTGTCCGTGGGTTATTACAACTGCGCCTCCCTTGTCCGCGGGTTTACTACAACTGCGACTCCCTTGTTCCATGTTGGATTTTCAACTTCAGCTCAGAGTTCCAACCAAAAATGAGAAAAAAAGAGAAAAACAGTAATGGTCTCATCAACAGGTTGAAAGAGAGTGTTAGCATTGGAGGAAATAGAAGCTACGGGTTTTTAAATAATTTCAACAGTGAGAATTTAAGGTTTGAAATGTTGGATCAAGAACCATTGTACACCAGCAAAATTAGTTTGTTTTGCTAGCAGGGAACAACATTTAGACGAGATGAAGCTGTAGAGAATAGGAGACTGGTCAGCAGAGCATTAGAGTAGTCTGGAGGCGATGAAGAAACACATTGTAAATACTGTATAAAATCGAAGTATTTTGACAATCCCCACTGCGACTATTACTTCCTCCTGAGTTTTATGGGGCCATGTTATAAAATTCTTTCAGTTTGCAAATGACAACCATGCTGGTCTGAAAACACCCAATTTTATCTGATCTTGGAACATAACCAGACTCGGACCTCATTAGTGTTTGGATGGGAAACCACCTGGGAATACCAGGTGCAGTAGGCCTTAAGGGCTCTTGAGGTAGTGCCCTTACCTCTGGCCAGAAGGTTCAGGTTTATGTCCTATCTGCCTCAGGTTTGCAACGTAAAATATCAAAAGCAAAGTGCTGCAAATCTGGAGATCTGAAATAAAAAAAAAAGAAACTCAGCAGGTTTGTCAGCATATGTGTAGAGAAACGCCAAATTAAAAAGCAAAAGTCTGATGTGACTCCTCTTTGAAACAGTTCGATTTAGGTATGCTGACTTCAGTTGTAAGAGGAGGTATTTACAAATCATCAAAAGTGATAGAACTGTTTCTCGGAACTACAAGTGAGTATGAAAAGAAACCTGTAATTTTACAATGGGAACAAAAGGTCCTCAACACACCTTCAAAACTGGCACCTTTGATATTGTGAATAAAAATAAGTCAATGACTAGTGTGCTGAGAAACCAGTTTGTCAATATTTACAGTAAAGGGAGAAGACACAAACTTGCCAGGGATATCAAAATCAACGCTCAAAAGTTAGTTACATTGGGGAAAGTAGAGTGGCCAGGAGCAATGTGTGCCTTATGAATGTAGATAATGTTGACATTACTGGTTAAAAAATAAGGAAGTGGCAACATGATGCAAAATACTTGGTCAACAACATGTAGATATTTTTAATCAACCTTTTCATACATCTAATAACATACCTTTGGAGCAAGTAGGACTTGAACCTAGGCCACAATTTGCCAGGAAGAATAGAGGAGCTAAATATTATTTAAGTGGAGAAAGACTGCAGACAGCTACAGAGCAGAGAGATTTGGAAGTCCTTGTGAATCTCAAAAAGTTGATGTCCAAGGTCAACTGGTAATAGGGAAGGCAAGTGGAATATTGGCTTTTATTTCAAAAGGAATAGAGTATAAAAGTAGGGAGGTTTTGCCAAAACAGCTGGAATACTGTGAACTGTGTTTTAGGCCCCCATTCTAAGGAAAGACATACTGGCATTGCAGGCATTCCAGATGAGAATTTGAGTAGGTTAGACTTGTTGGAATTTAGATGAATGAGAGGCAAGCTTATTGAGATGTACAAGACTCTTAAGGAGCTTGATTTGGAAAGGTTGTGTCCATTTGTGGGAGAGTCTAGGACCAGAGGGCATAATCTCAGAATGAAAGGCCATATATTTGAGACTGAGATGAAGAGAAATTTCTTCTTGGAGGGTAGTAAATTTGAGGAATTCTTTACTGCAGAGGGCTGATGAGACTGGTTTGTTAAGTATATTCAAGGCTAAGAGAGATTTTTAACCAATAAGCAAATTAAGGACTGAATGAATTACTTATCCTAAGTCGTACAGTCTTCTGGTTCAAAATGCCACAAGAACCCCTATTGCATCAGTGTTTACAATAGAGGAAAAGGTTAGTTAAGCAACCTCAAGGAAACTATTCTAAAATTGGGAACAGTGTTTCATTAATATCAGTGTAACCAAATTAACTGTATTAAAGAAAATAATGACACTAAAAAGGTACAAAGTGACCCATTCTTGAGGACTTAACGGTTTCCATCTTAGGATTTCAAAGGAAGTATTGACAATTTTATAGGTGCCCTAGCTATTAATCTCCTAAAATCCTTTTGATTAAGGAACCATTCGTTAATGTTAAAGGATTCCACATCACTGCTTTTTGAGAAAGGTGAGAGGGAAAACCAGGGAATTACAGACTAATCAATCCAACCTAACATTATTTTTTTGTTGGAAAATTAATTGTCAATGAAGGGTGGTGTGCATGAAACCGTTGAACGTTTCAGTTAATCAGAATTTGGATTCGTGGAACACAGGTCGTACTTGATGTGTATGTTTTTTTTAGAGATAGATACTGTTCAAAAATGATCGGTTTAAAACAGCATGGTGGCTCAGTGGTTAGCACTGCTGCCTCACAGTGCCAGGGACCCGGGTTTGATTCCACCCTCGGGCGACTGTGTGTCTGTGTGGAGTTTGCACATTCTCCCCATGTCTGCGTGGGTTTCCTTCGGGTGCTCCGGTTTCCTCCCACAGTCCAAAGATGTGCAGGCTAGGTAGGTTGGCCATGTTAGATTGCCCATAGTTTTCAAGGATGAGTAAATTAGGGGGGCAAAGGGAGGTAGGTTCTGTGTGGGATGCTTTGAGGGTCAGTGTGGACTTGTTGGGCCGAAGGCCCTGTTTCCACACTGTAGGGATTCAATGAAAATCTATGAAAACAAACTTAAATGATATTTTTAGTCATTTGGTAGTAAAGAACTTCAGTATTGCTGAAACAAAGTGGTACATTTTATTGAAATTTTGATGAAAAACATTGACAAAATGTCTTTTTCTGTAATGTCCAAATTGCACTTTCTTGTTTTCTAAGTCACAACTAACTTGATTTAAAAAGAAGTGTTTTCAGATAGCTACCAAATAAGTTGTACACTGAAATCAATGTCTTTATCATTTTGATGTTCTAAGTTCTAAATTATGTTTTTGACAAATAACATTGTTCAAATTTCCCCCCCCCCTTTCCTTTCTGGCAAAAAGATTATTGGCCTTGTTGCAAAATCTCATACTTTCTGTAGAGGTTTGGAATTATAAGAGAAATAGGCTGCTATATTTTGAAAAATAATTTATTTATGTACTCAGCTCAGGGGACCAATTACGTTTGGTATAAAGTTGTTAAAAATTAATTATTGTGGTCTGATTGGGAAAAGGAACAGCTATTGGTTAAGCACTCTAGGGTCTGAATTTTCTCAAAACCAGATGGGCATAGCCAAAATGGCACCACTGCTGCAGTTCCAGATCTCCTGCACCTGAATCAAAACGTAGCCGAAAAACCATAGGACCAAGAGAAACTTTTCATGTTTGCTTTGCCATTCAATGGAATCATGGCATATTTGCAAATTAATTTCATAAACCCTCCTTTTTCCCATACCTCTCGTCAAAACAAAATCTATCAATCTCAGTTTTAAAATTAGCAATTCATCCACTGTCAATTGTCGTTTGTGCAAGGGAATTCCAAATTTTAAACATACTCTCAATGAAGATATGTATCTTAACTTCTGAAATATCTGCCCATAATTTTTGTCCTCATTCGCAGCCATAATGCTGAAATTTTGCTCCTCGGTCAGTGCGCAGTTAATTTTTACTGAGGAAGTGACAAGAAAAGGTTGATTCACAGAGGCAGCTGCACATGTAAAAGTGCAATAAAATGTTTTGTAACTGTAACATCCCAAAACACAGCTCATGGGTTATAGGAATTTGTGAAAAAGGGTTAAAGCACTGAAAATGTGTTTAAAATTTGGAATTCTCTTTCACAAACAACAATTGATAGTTGATGAATTATTGAGTTTCAAACTGAGATTGATAGATTTTTGTTGCCCAAAAGTATTAAGCAACATGTGGAAAGGACAGGTTTATGGATATAGTTTACAAATCTGCCATGACTCCATTGAATGGTGGAACAAACTTGGAGTTAAATGGCCTATTCTTGTTTCTATGCTACTTTGAATAAATTTTGAATGTAGAAAAAAAAAAGTGGAAATGAAAACTGTATTGTCATGAAGAGCTTACATAAATCTTAATTATTGTGAATAAGAAAACCTCCATTGAGGTTTTGGGAAATTGAAAGAATTTATGTAGTTTGATTTACAACACTCCGTTTCCTTGCATTTAGGAAAAAATTGTTCTTGCCGAATATCCGATCTGTTAGAGAACAAACTTATTCATGAATAACAAATTTGTGAATAGCACTTCTAGATAGCTGATTTTATAACTTCCATAGGAGCGTGAACAAAAAGCTGAAGAGGAACGAATTAGAATGGAAAATATTCTTAGTGGCAACCCTCTACTGAACCTCATTGGACAGTCAAACTTCAAAGTGAAGCGGAGGTAATGTGAAAGACGACCATTTAGAATAATCTCTCAATAGAAATTCTCATGACTGCTTGTATAGCCAGTATACTGTTCTATAGAGATGAAACATGGAAATGTAATTCTAATGTTCTGTAGCCCAATGCTTAAAAACTTTCTATACGGTTTTCAGTAATTTTGTTTTATGATATTGGCAAGAACAGTATTTGTTTTCTTTTACCTGCTGTAAAATATATTAAAGCATCAAAATTATGCTGTTAAACTGCGTGAGCATAGATTCCACTGTATCAAGTTGTTTCACAAAACTCAAATCTCATAAAATAAAATGCTTTGAGGGCAGGGCAATTCCTAAAATTTAAGAAATAGGAGCAGTAGTAAACCATATGCCCTTTGTGCCTACTTTATCATTCAGTATGGTTATGACTGATCTTCTGTTTCAACGCCAGGTAGGAACTTGTGCCTTGTAAACCAGGATTCCCTGTGAGGCCAAAAATCTTGTCAATCTTAGCATTACTCAACAATGAAACATCCATATCCCTCAGATGGAAAATTCCAAAGATCCACAACCTTTAGACTCTTCATCTATGCCCCAAATGCTTGACACTTAATTGAAACTGTACCCCCATTTTCTAGACTTCCCAGCCAGCAGAAGCAACGGCTGTGTCCAAACTGCTGATCCCCTTGAAAATCTTTCATGTGTCAACTAGATCACTCCTGATTCTTCTAAGTTCCAGCAAGTATTTTACTGTTTATCTGTCTCTCACTATATCTGTTCAGCCTTGGAACAATCTATTGAATCTTCACTGTCCATCACTTAGCTAAATGTATCCATCCTTAGATATGTAGACCAAAACTATGCACAATACTCCAAATGTGGTCTCACCAAAGTCCTTTACAATTGCGGCAAGGCTTCCTTATTCTTACACTCACTCCCCTTGCAATAAGGTGGAGGTGCTGGTGTTGGACTGGGGTGGACAAAGTCAGAAGTCCCACACCAGGTTATAGTCCAACAGGTTTATTTCAAATTACAAGCTTTCAGAGCACAACCCCTTTGTCACATGAAGTGAGAGGGAAGCACACAGACACAGAATTTATAGGCAGAGAGATCAAAAGATCATACAAATGGTGCGAGTAAAGTGTCAACAGCTGAATAACAAGTGAAGGGATGACCTATAATCCGATTGAATGAGGCAGAGAGATAATTGCAGAAAAGTAAAAATAAGGTGGTGTTGGAGACAAACCAAATGACTGGAATAACATGATAGTATAACAGTCACATGCCGAGGGTCTAACCAAAGTAATAAGTAATGCAAAACTGTACAAACTAATTAAGGTAGAGATCATAACACTCTGGCTATGTCAAGGGCATCTTGAAACCCATTGTACAAGGAGCACCCAGCTTCTTTCGTGATACTACGGATTGCTTATAGAAACTCAGCACCCATGGACCAGTCGAACCAGGAACATTCCTCGTCACAATGGACGTTTTGGCACTCTACACCAGCTTCCCCAACACAACGGCATCACTGCAACAGCCTCATCACTCAAGACTAACAACTGCCAATTTTCAGATGCCACCCTACAACTCATCTGCTTCACCTTGACCATAATGTCTTCACCTTTGACAACCAGTTCTTCATCCAGACACTGGGAACAGCCATGGGGACCAAATCTGCACTCCAATATGTCAACATATTCGCGCACAAGTTCAAGCAAGACTTGTTTGCTATGCAGGACCTCCGACCAACGCTATGCATCAGATACATTGACGTTTTCTTCCTTTGAACTCGTCGCGAGGAATCACTGGAATGACTACCTACAGATATCAACAAGTTTCATCCCACCATCGGACTTACCATGGACTACTGTTCAGAATCAGTCTCATTCTTGGACACATACATCAAGGACAGACACCTCAGTACCTCACTCTACCGCAAACCCACGGATAACCTCATGATGCTGCACTTCTCTAGCTTCCACCCAAAACATATTAAAGAACCCATCGTCTACGGACAAGCCCTATGCATGCACAAGATCTGCTCAGATGAGAGGGAACGCGACGGGCACCTAAAGATTTTGAAGCGTGCCCTCTTAAGAATGGGAAACAATGCTCAAATTATTCATCGCCAGTTCTGACATACCACAGCAAAAAACTGCGACGACCTCCTCAAAAGCCAGGCACAGGATACAACCGATAGAGTACCCTTCATTATCCAGTGCTCCCTGAAACAGAGAGACTACACCATGTTCTTTGCAGCCTTCAACATGTCATCGATGATGATGAGCCTCTCACCAAGAGTATTGCTATGCCTCCACTTTTCACCTTTAAACAACCGCCAAATCTTAAACAGATCATCGCTCACAGCAAACTACCCAGCCTTCAGGACAACTTCGACCACAACACCACACAAATCTGCCATGGCAACCTCTGCAAGACATGCCAGATCATCGACATGGATACAACCATCACATGTGGGAACACTACCCACCATGTACACGGCAGATACTCATGTGACTCAGGCAATGTTGTCTGTCTCATTCTCTGCAGACACAGATGCCCCCAGGCATTGTATATTGATGAGACCATGCAGATGCTATGACAACGGGTGAATGGACACCGCGCAACAATTGCCAGAGAAGAATGTTCCCTCACAGTCGGGGAGCACTTCAGCAGCCAAGGGCCTTAAATCTTCGATCTTCGGGTAAGTCTCCTCCAAGGCGGCCTTTAGATACACAACAACGCACAATCGCCAAGCCGAAACTGATAGCCAAGTTCCCTACACATGAAGACTGCCTCAACCATGATCTTGGGTTCATGGTTCCCTGCATGTGATCCCACCATGTTCTGTATGTGTAAAATCTTCCTTGCTGTCCTGTTTTGATGCCATCACCTTGGTAAATTGTTATGATCTCTCTACCTTTACTAGTTTGTACGGTTTTGGATTACTTGTTACTTTGGTTAGACCCTTGGCATGCGACTCTTATACCCATTGTGATATTCCAGTCATTTGGTTTATCTCCAGCACCACTTTTATTTTTAATTTTTTGTAATTAACTCTGCCTCATTTAATCGGATTATAGGTCATCCCTTCACTTGTTATTCAGCCGTTTACGCTTTACTCACACCATCTGACATTTTTGATCACCTGCAGAGACTTATTATTCAACAATCCACTCGCACCATTTGTATGATCTTTTGATCTCTCTGCCTATAAATTCTGTGTCTTTGTGCTTCTCTCTCACTTCATGTGACAAAGGGGCTGCGCTCTGAAAGCTTGTGATTTGAAATAAACCTGCTGGACTATAACCTGGTATTGTGTGATTTCTGACTTAGAATAAGGGACAATGTTACCTTCCTAATTATAGCTGTTTGGTAACTTTGTATTCCTTGTACAAGTACATCTATATATCTCTCTGAACGTCAATGTTTAAAAGTTCCATACCTATTTTTAAAAAATAATTCTTTTCTTTTTGCATTGGCAGAATGAAAATTCTTTCACTTTTCCTCTTTGTACCTGTCTCATGATACTCCATCTGCCTATATCTCCTTGCAACCTCTGTTTCTTCTCAGCTCACATTCTCCCATTGCTTTGTTGGCAAAATTGATACATAACTCTTCTTGTCTTTTACGTTATCAAATTCTTTAGCGTAGATTATAAATAGCTGAGGCCCCAGCACTGATCTTGCAGCACACCAATCATCATTGTTAACTATTTTGAAAATTGTCTTTTTGTATCTGTTTTCTGTTTCGTAATCTAATTTTTAATCTTCGATCAGTGGTAACGTGTTATCCCAACTGCAAGAGTCATTGCATGGTAACCATTTGTGTGGCAGCTTATCAATGCATAATTGAAGTCTACCTACTCGTTTACCTTGATCTGTCCTTTTAGTTACGCCCTCATAAAGCTCTTAATAAATGTATCAAACACAATTTCCTTTTTGGAAAGCCGTGTTGACTCTTTCTGATCATTCTGTGACTTTATAACTGCATTATCAAGATTTTCTAATGGGTTCCAACAATTTTTTAATGACTAATGCCAGGCTAGCTAGCCTGTGAACCTGTTTTTCTTGCTCATTTCTTGTATAACAGTTTTATTTTTGCTAAATTCTGATCTGCTGGAACTATTTCAGAATCTAGGGAATTTCAGAATATTCTGTATCTGTTATTTCTACAGCTATCTTTTTAGAACTTTTAAGATTATGGCAATTAAGACATGGTGATTTGTCAGCTTCTCATTCCTCACGTTTCTTTTAATACTGTCTATGCTGATAATTACTTTAAATTCCTCGTGATTTTTAACTCCTTGGTTGATGTATTTTCCTAGTGTGTAATTTGTGTTTCCTCCTGTAACGACAAGCATGAAATATTTGTTCATCATTGCTGCCAGTTTCTCATTTGCCAGTTAACTTCTGTTTTTGCTTCTAAGAGACAGATTTTTGCTTTAGCTATATGTTTCATATACTTTTAAAAGCTCCTATTGTTTTTCTTAAAATCCTAGATAATTCGCTTTCAGCCTGTTTTATTCCGCTTTAAATCAACTGTTCGGGCACTCTTTTGTTGTTTTCTGAAACTGTCTCAATACTTAGGCTTACTACTAATGACTTGTTACTACCTTACTATTATTAGCCTCTTCTTTTATGTAACATTATTTCACCAATTTAAAATTAAGATTTGTGTTTTGAGCTCAAGTATTTCACTATCAAACTTAATATTAAATTCAATTGTATTATGTCCACTTTTTCCTGGAGGATCTTTTACAAAGAGATGAGTAGTGAATCTCTTATTTTATGATGCTAGCTCCAAAATAGTTTGTTCACCAGCATATTGGTCTAGAAAACAGTCACAAACTCAACTTTCAAGCTACTTTGGTGCATCTGATTTTTCAAGTTTACTCGAAGGTTAAAAGCCCGCTTGATTATTTTATGAGAGATAGTAGGAACTGCAGATGCTGGAGAATCTGAGATAACAAGGTGTAGAGCTGGATGAACACAGCAGGCCAAGCAGGAAGACTGACATTTCGGGCCTAGACCCTCCTTCAGAAAAAGGGTCTGAAGAAGGGTCTAGGCCCGAAACGTCAGCCTTCCTGCTCCTCTGATGCTGCTTGGCCTGCTGTGTTCATCCAGCTGTACACCTTGTTATCTTTGATTATTTTATTGCCTTGTTATAATCTCCAGTTTTTTGTGCCTTCTCCAATAGTGTGATTACTATTAACTATTCCAGCCATTGCTTTCTGACTTTTAATTCTACTTGCTGATCTTCAAAACTCTTATTAAAATATTATTCTAATGCCATCCTTCACTATCAGGGCTACTTCTCCTACTCCTCTACCACTTTGCTTGTCTTCCTGAAATCTTTTGTACCCTGGATTGTTTATTTCCTAACCTTGGTCACGTTGTAATTAAGGGGTGTACCAGTTGCGTTCCTGCCTCTGTTATTTTACTGGTGGTGGGAGGGGTCTATCCTATCAATCCAACTATGGACTCCGTTTCTGGGGCTGGTGATCTTTCTGATCATACCTCCTGTCCGGCAGGCTCTGATGAATCCACCCCACTCACTGCTATTCTGGCCACTGCTATTCTAGTGGTTTGTTTTTGTCAAATTCATTCATTCAAGGAATGTGGTCATCGCTTCAAGACAAGCATTATCTCTATTTCTCATTGGCCTGGAGAAGGTATGATGAACTGCCTCTTGAACCATTGCAGTCCATTTGGTGAAGGTATAACCATAATATTGTTATCGGGGGAGTTTGAGGATTTTGACCTAGAAATGTTAAAGGAATGGTATTAGCCAAGATTGTATAAGGCTTGGAGAGGAACGTGCAGGTTTTGGTGTTCCCATATGGCTGCTGCTCTTGTCCTTCTAGATGATGGTGGTCATGGGTTTTGGAAGAGGGCTATCTTAAGGGGCTTGGTGAATTTTAGCAATGCATTTTGTGGATAATACTGCTACTGTGCATCAGTGGTGGAGTGAGTGAATGTTTGAAGATGTGGTACCAATAAAGCAGACTGCTTCTTCCTGGATAGTATCAAGCTTTTTGAGTGTTATTAAAGACTTATTCATTCAGGAAAATGGGGAGTATTCTTGTAGGTGGCAGCTAGACTTTGGAAGTCAGGAGGTAAGCCACACTGTGCAGATTCCTTGCCTCAGACTTGCTCTCGTAGCCACATAATATGTTGCTGATGGTTAGATTCTCTCTTCTCAAAGATAGTAATTACTGGCACTTGTGTGGTATGAATATTACTTGTCCCTTGTCAGCCCAAACCTGGATATTGTTTAGGTCTTGCTGCATTTAGACATGGACTGTTTTGGTATCTGAGGAGTTGTAAGTGGGTGCTGAATATTGTACAATGGTCAGCAAACATCCCCACTTCTGACCTTCAACTGAAGAGAAGGTCATTGATGAAGCTATTGCAGATATTTGGACCTAGCACACAACCCTGAAGAACTGTGGGAATGATGTCCTGGAGCTGAGATGACTAATATCCAGAAACCAAAACCATATTCCCTTGTGCTAAGTATGAATCCATCCAGAGGTTTCCCTGATTGTCATTGACTATAGTTTGATTAGGGCTTCTTAATGCCATACTTGATCAAATGCTGCCTGATCAAGGGCAGTCTCTCTCACCTGCTGTTTAGAATTCAGCTCTTTTGTCCATATTTGGACCAAGTCTGTAATCAAGTCAGGAGTAGAAGGACCCTGTTGGAACTCAAATTGAACATCAGTGAGGAGGTGATTGCTAAGCAAATGTTGTTTGCTAGAACTGTTGATGACTCCTTCCATCACTTAACTAGTGATCAAGACTACATACACTCATGGGGTGATTAATTTGTGTAGAGCACAGCTGGGCAATTTTGGAAATTAGTGGGCAGATGGCAGTGTTGTAGCTGTACTCGAACATCTTGGCTAGATATATAGCAAGTTCTGGGGATGGGTCTTCAGTACTACTGTGGGCATATTATCAGGGCCTACAGCCATTACAGTATCTAGCGCCTTCAGTAGTTTCTTGACATGATGTGGAATGAATTGAGTTGGCTGAAGATGGGTATCTGTAATGCTGAGGACCTCCTGAAGAGGCCAAGATGGATCACCAACTTGATACCTTTGGCTGGACATTGCTGCAAATGCTTCAGCCTTATATTTTGATATCTCTAATATTCAGTAATCTTCATTGCTAGCATCAAAAATTGTGAGCAAATGAATACAAATGAACAAATGAAAAAGTACAGCACAGGAGCAGGCCCTTTGGCCCTCCAAGCCTGTGCTGACCGTTATGCCCTAATTAATCCAAAAACAAACCTGCCATTTTTTGATCGGTATCCCTCTATTCCCTCCCTATTCATATATCCATCTAGGTGCTGCTTAAATGTCTTCAATGTGTCCACTTCCACCAACTCTTCTGGTAGTGCATTCCAGGCTGCTACCACTCTGTACGTGAAAACTGTCCCTCTCACGTCTCCCTTAAACTTTCCCTCTCTGACCTTGAACCTGTGCCCCCTTGTAATTGAAACTTCAATCCTGGGAAAAATTCCTCTGACTTTCCGCCCTATCTCCGCCTCTCATAATTTGTAGATCTCTATAAGGTCTCCTCTCAGCCACCATCTTTCCAGTGAAAACAATCCTAGTCTTTTTAACCTTTCCTCATAGTCAATGCCGTGGAGACCAGGCAACATCCTGGTGAACCATCTCTCTATTCTCTCCAAAGCTTCCACATCCTTCTGGTAGTGTGGTGACTGAAACTGCACACAATACTCCAAATGCGGCCTAACAAGGGTTTTATGTAGCTGCAACATGTCTTGCCCAAAGAAAACTTTCGGTGCTTTTCTACCTAGGTCATTAGTGCCATAATGTAATTCTGTTTTCCTTCTAGGTGGGACGACGACGTAGTGTTCAAGAACTGTGCGAAAGGAATAGATGAGTCAAAGAGGGATAAAAGATTTGTGAATGATACACTTCGTTCAGAATTCCACAAGAAGTTTATGGAAAAGTACATTAAGTAATTAACATTAAATACTCTGTTCACTGGTTGCAGGAAACTTAATTTTCTCTCCTGAGGACTACAAACTCTATTTTCCTCTATTTGTTGCCGTGGATCTTGTGTCAACTAAACGTAAGGCAATCAACATCTTTGAAGTTTCTTTCAGTCCTGCTCTTAGGTATCAAGATATCAAGAAATAATGGTACATTTCTTCATGAAGCACCTGATTTCTACTTCATTGCATCCTGTTGCTTCACAGATGACATCTGTATGTCTTGAAACTTCTGGCGAATATCTGATTGTATGTTATGAGCAATACCACGAGATGTTAAAAATAGATTGCAATTCTTTTGGTGTAGGGCAGGCTTTAAGGATGTAACTTCCATCTTTCAACCTAGTAAGTCAGGAATAAAACATTTCGTTATTTGACTTTATCCTGATTTTAAAAATAAATTTTACTATTAAAATCAAGTTAATTTAAAATTGTGCTATTGTCATTGTGAACAAAGTGAATTCTTGACACAAGTTGAACTGTGATTTTGTTGTGTTTCACACTTTAAGATTTGGTGAAGGTATTAACATCAGCAGGGATAAAATAAACTTTCATCTGGAACAGCAAGTTTATCAAGGACATCCATCATGGAGTTATTAAAAGCAAATTGAGTACCTTAATCTAATCGAGAAAGTTGATTGAGGTAAGCAACACAGCTCAAGAGTGTCAAAGTTATATTTTTAGCACCTTGGAACACTTGAGTGTGAAATTCACTGTATAATTGCAAAAGCAATTGAAGTATCCAATATTATACAAACATTTGGTATATTGCATGATGTCTTTGTAATCCAAAGGACATTTTGTGCTTTAGAGTTTAAGTGATGGCGATCATTCTGGGATTTTGAAATTTTATTTATGAAGTTCCGATCCAAAGGATCGAAAAAGGCTCTAGAGAGATACAAGTTAGCCAGGAAGGAGCTGAAGAAAGGGCTTAGGAGACCTATAAGGGGGCATGAGAAACCCATGGCAGATAGGATCAAGGAAAACTCCAGGGCTTCTTACACGTACGTGAGGAATAAGAGAACGACCAGAGAAAGGGTAGGGCCGATCAAGGAGTGTAAAGGGAATTTGTGGACAGAGCCTAAAAAGATAGAGGTCCTTAATGAATGCTTATCTTCAGTATTCACAACTGAGGGGGACCTAGTTGTAGGGGAGGACAGTGTGAAACAGGCTGGTAGGCTAAAGGAGGTGGATGTTAGTAAGGAAGATGTACTAGGAATTTTGAGGAACTTGAGGATACATAAGTCGCCCGGGCCTGACGGGATTTATCCAAGGATTCTATGGGAAGCAAGGGAAGAGATCGCAGGGCCTTTGGCGATGATCTTTTCGTCCTCACCGTCCACAGGTATAGTGCCGGAAGATTGGAGAGAGGCAAACGTCATTCCCTTGTTCAAAAAAGGGAATAGGGATAACCCCGGAAATTACAGGCCAGTTAGACTTACTTCAGTGGTGGGCAAATTATTGGAAACGGCTCTGAGAGATAGGATTTATGATTACTTGGAAAGAGACAGTTTGATTTGTGATAGTCAGCATGGATTTGTGGGGGCTCAATCATGCCTCACAAACTTTATTGAATTCTTTGAAGGGGTGACCAAACACATGGATAAAGGTAGAGCAGTGGATGTGATATACATGGATTTAAGTAAGGCGTTTGATAGGGTTCCCCATGGTAGGCTCATGCAGATAGGAAGGAGGCATGGGATAGAGGGAAATGTGGCAGATTGGATTCAGAATTGGCTGACCCTTAGAAGACAATGGGGTGGTAGTGGACAGAAAGTATTCAACATGGTGCTCAGTTACAAGTGGTGTACCACAAGGATCTGTTCTGGGTCCTCTTCTATTTGTGATTTTTGTAAATGATTTGGATGTAGGAGTGGAAGGGTGGTATAGTAAATTCGTGGACAATACGAAGGTGGGTCGAGTTGTGGATAGTGCGGACGGCTGTTCTAGGCTACAAAGGGACACTGATAGAATGCAGAGGTGGGCTGAAAAGTGACAAATGGAGTTTAACCCTGAAAAGTGTGAGGTGATTCATTTTGGAAGGACAAATTTGAAAGCAGAATACAGGATTAATGGAAAAATTCTTGGCAGTGTGGAGGAGGAGAGGTTTCTTGGGGTTCATGTCCATTGTTCCCTGAAAGCTGCCACCCAGGTGGATAGAGTTGTTAAGAAGGCGAATGGTGTGTTAGCTTTCATTAATAGAGGGATTGAGTTCAAGAGCCGTGAAGTTATGCTCCAGTTATACAAAACCCAGGTTCGGCCACATCTGGCGTATTGTGTCCAGTTCTGGTCGCCTCGTTACAGGAAAGATGTGGAAGCGTTGGAAAAGGTGCAGTGGAGATTTACCAGGATGTTGCCTGGAATGGAGGGAAGGTCTTAAGAGGAAAGTTTGAGAGATCTAGGGCTTTTCTCTTTAGAACGACAAAGGATGAGAGGTGACTTGATAGAGGAGTACAAAATGATCAGAGGTGCTGCTAGAGTGGACAGCCAGAGACTTTTTCCTAGGATGGAGGTAGCTATTACGAGGGGGCATAGTTTTAAAGTGAGTGGAGGTAGATATAGGGAAGATGTCAGAGGTAGGTTCTGTCTTTCAGAGAGTGTTAAGGGTGTGGAATACAGTTGGGTAGTGGAGTTGGCCTCATTAGAGGCATTTAAGCGGCTATTAGATAGGCATATGGATGATAGTATAAGGTAGGGGTGGAGGTTAGATAGACCTTAGGTTTAGGGTAAAAGTTCAACACATCATCGTGGGCCGAAGGGCCTGTACTGTGCTGTACTGTTCTATGTTCTAAGTTAGACCAATAAGTCTGAGCTTGTTTTTTATTAAATAAAGTAACATTGAAGGAGTCATAAACCTGAATTTTGAATTACCGAGAGATGAAAATTACACTTGTGAGCAAATTATTAGGCAGGATTTGCAAAGATCTGGGAATTATTTTTTAGCTCTAAAAATGACATTGAGTCAGGAATCTGATTGTCCACTTCTGAGTTTAACCTAAATAGGTTTGTAGGTGAGTGAGGAATCCCAATTAACCCAGAATTTCAACCAGATTTCTGACTTTAACAACCAGTGCATTTTTTTGCTTGAGCTAGATGAAACTCTCCAGGGTCAAATAAATGAGAGAACAGTAGAGCATTCTTGTTCAATGAAACAGACAAGCTGGAAGCCTTCAAAGAGTTTAAACTGAATAGAGACGAGGCTGGTTCTCAGACCAGTACAGAAAACGTGCTCTAACTTTTTGACAGCTTATTTTCAACTTCTTGGTAATCAGTTCACCTGTTTTTGACTTTAGTTATCTTAATCTGGGCTTCCATGTGGTAGCCTTTCATTGTGGCCTAAGAGCAGTTTCAAACTCGCACCTCTGAAGAGGAACAGGAGGAGCAACACAAACAGTTGCTGCCTTCTCAGCCACATTCTCGTCACAGGAGAGAACAGACAAACAAAGCTCTGATTCTTAGTAGGTAAGACCTCCAATACATGGTTTAAAAAGCAGATCAGCTATCCCGATATGGATCAACAGTTCTTTGGAAGGTTCATATTTTCATCACCAGGTTGTTGCTAATATCTGCAACTTCTTGGAACAAGATCTCCTACCCACTGGATCAGGTGTGGACACATTAGTATAGTGGAGAGATGCCGGCATGGTTCTCTGCTTCTCTAGAGTTCTGGACAGCCTTTTGCAAAGGTTAAAAACAGAACTGAGTTTGTGATAACTGAATTGTGTGGAGGAGGGATTTGTGGAGGGTGACTGAGGGGCAAGAGATGGCACAAACCTGTGTGTGTGTGTCACTTTTGGCTGTTCAGGTGGGTATGTGAAGAGGTCTGGTGAGAGGATTGGGTGGAGCTACAAAATATCAATCTGCAGGAAAGTACTATTGAACTCAGAAAAGTGACATTGGCTCAAGAACCTGTTGCCAACTTGTGGGTTTAGCCAAGACATACTTGCACATGATTAGGTGAACTGCTCATTGGTCAAGGGGTATGATTTTTGCTTAGGGCATTGTACATTGTAGACATGCGAGAAGTAACTGGTTCAAATCCTGGACGAACCCTGGTTTCTTCAAGCAGCATGGTGGGTCAGTGATTAGCACTGCTGTCTAACAGCATCAGAGACCTGTATTTGATTCCACCCTTGGGTGACCGCCTGTGTAGAGTTTCTCCAGATTCTCCCATGTCTGCGTGGGTTTCCTCTGGGTGCTCTGGTTTCCTCCCACAGTCTAAAGATGTGCAGGTTAGGATAGATTGGCCATGGGAAATGCTGAGTTACAGGTATAGGATAGGTTGGTGGGGGCCTACATGGGATGCTCTTCAGAGGTTCGGTGTGGCCTCGATGGGCCAAATGGCCTGCTTACACTGTAGGGATTCTAAGATTCTTCTATGATATTGACTAGGCAGGGGCAGAGGCAACAAAAATGGTGCCACTGGCCTATGTTCCAGTTCCTGAGCTTCATCCTGAATGGGGCTCTTTACCATTTCAAATTGCCCTCTCCCTTATTTGCCTTCCACTATTTGTGCTTTAATGTTGGAAGAATGATTGGCCCTCCATCTTTCTTGCCCAGTAATGTTAATTAGGCAACAGAACTTTTCTCTAGTTATTAATTGTTGGCTTTGAGGAAAAGCATGGGGGTGACTGCTTCCCACTTGCAGCAGACTTCTGACTCTACTTGATCCTCAGGCTGGGGTTTAGAAGTCCAGAGTGAGGGACTTGGTAGCAGAAAATGTGGAGGCCATTCATCTTTTTTGCCTTCCTGATTTCCTTAAACTTCATGAGACACTGAATACTATTGTAGGAGCTCACTCCCACTGTTCATTTCTCTAGCACTTCCATGCAGGAATCAGACTGTGATTCCTTCAAAAGGCAGGTAGGGGTTAATAAAATATCAAAGATGTGACATTATAAAATCATTAGAAAATGAGAGGGAGATCCAAGCTGTGGGATTTATGGTGGCCGAACCAAGGAGGAAGCAGCCAGCTCCACAGGTAAGTGGATGTTCTAGCACTCCTTATGGGTAAGGAGCTGGAGGCCCACAGGTCCTTCAAGAAAGCTTTTGATTTCCTTCAGCCCAGATCCCCAGACCTATTTTCTTCTGTGCCCCACTCATGCCTTTTCTTCCTCTCTATTTGCTGGCTTCCCCTTTGATTGTTGATTTCATCACAGCCACACCTAACTCCTCTTCATAATTGGCACCTGAAGTGAGTCAGAAAGCATCTTGAGGGTTCCTGCCTGCAGCCTCTAATTACCTCGCAACTATTAAGATCAACAAACCTTCCACTTCCACTGTCTCCTTAGGTTCGTTGTCCACTTTCAGATGTTCCACAGCTCCCATGAATATTGAGGTCAGTATGCCCAAACTTGATGAAAATGGAAAAGTTTGAAGATCTGTGACATTTGCAAGCGTTGGCTAAAGTGGACTGAGA